TAGTCTAGAGGCTTATTGAATAATGAGTATATATATATACTTGAACTTTTATGCTCTGGTGAATGCCTACTCATTGAAAATATTTTCACTGACATGATAAGAATTCTACAAATCATTTGGAAAAAAGACTAAAAAGTATTACACAGAATAATTCGTGTTGTTACAGGTAGTAGAATTTTATTTTAGTTGTTATACTATTTTAAAGGTCGTAAATAAGATTATATGTGTGTTGTTACTATTATACTCTTTTGCTTGCCACATGTTAGACATTTGTGTGCACTGATTCACTTAAGTCTCATGATAATCCTGTGAGAGTATAGTTCTGATATCCCCTTTTGCAGATGAGGAGAATGAGGATTCAAACGGTTCATGAACCTGACAATGATCATAAGAAGTAGGGAAGGATTTGGTGTCAGGTCTCTCTGCCCCCAAAGCTGCATTCGGAAGTCCGCTCATGTGAAAAATTCTACTCATTGTCCTAGTGTGACTAAAGAGGTGTTTGGGGTCACTCAACACATCACTGATCTTATTGATTCTACTGTACATGTTTAAAGTAAATATAGGTACAGTGTAATAGATTGGCTGGATAGTTCGCTTTTTAAATAACATTATTATGATAAATAGTCCAGAATGTGTTCTCAGAAATATTCTACAATTAAGATAAATGAAAATTGTTTACTACTTGATTTGTTGATTTTAGATAAGTTCTTAAGAATACAAAGAATTGAAATACCAGTGTCCACACTCAATAGCCCAGAAAGCCCCATCAATGAAGTAGATTTCCTCAAGGCCATTAAATCAATTTTTTTTCCTCCTCTAAGCTCCACTCATCCCTCCCTGCCTCACACTATACAGATGCAGACTATACAGATACTCCCAGATCATGGAACTGCAGTTTCTGGGAGAGAGGGTGACACGTATAACTCAACCAAAATTATAGTTTGTAAAATTAGGACAAAGGGCCCCACCTCGTAATTGTTTACAATCGAGTTTATCAGTCAGATGAATCTTTGTGTCATTAAAAAAAAATCGAAAGTAAGAAATCAAACACAAGACATTCTCAAAACAAATTTAGCAATTGGTTGTGATACATTTGAGCAATGAGTGAGCTATTCTTTGTGCCATATAAAACTTAAGGTTCGGGCCAGGCGTGGTGCCTCACACCTACAATCTCAGCACTCTGGGAGGCCAAGGAAGGTGGATTGCTTCAGCTCAGGAGTTTGAGACCAGCCTAAGCAAGAGCAAGACCCCCATCTCTACTAAAAATAGAAAAGCTACCGGGTGGCACCTGTGGCTCAAAGGTGTAAGGTGCCAACCCCATATGCCGGAGGTGGTGGATTCAAACCCAGCCCTGGCCAGAAAAAAAAAAAAGAAAAACTACCTGGGCATGGTGGCAGGTGCCCATAGTCCCAGTTACTTGGGAGGCTGAGGCAGGAGGATTGCTTGAGTCCAGGAGTTTGAAGTTGCTATGAGCTATGATGATGCCACAGCATTCTACTCAGGGAGAAAGAGTAAGACTCTGCCTCAAAAACAGAACAAAACAACACAAAACAAAGAAATCCCTCCAAACCTTAAGTTGTGCATGTTCGGTTTCGGGGAGAGAGTTTTTATTTCAAACATTATGTACAACTGGCCTATGCATTTTGCAGAGTAAATTTTAAGGTTCACCTCTCTACATGAACATCTGCTCTTTTTTCTTTCATGGAAGTTCTAAGTTTTTGGATCCTCCAGAAGATGGATCTGCTCTCACAGACAAGTTACAAATATTCTTTCACAAAATTCCTTGTGGAATATGATGGTCCCCCTTATCAGAGAGAGATACAGTCCCAGTAACTACCACAGTGTATGTCTGAGGCTAGTACCAAACTCTATATATACCAGGGTTTTTTCCCCATACCTACATACTATGATAAACTTTAATAAATGCACTCCTCTTACACTTTGGGGCTATTACTACATAAAATACAGGTTACCTGACACCAGCACTGCAATACTGTGACAGGTGATCTGCTGGACACAGCAAATCCACATATCCACATATTTGTGGCTATGCTGGAGAACAGGACAATTCATGACCCGGCTGAGATGGAGCAGGATGGCCATGAGATTTCATCACACCACTCCTCATGGCACACAACTTTTAATGTATGAATTGTTTATTCTAGAATTTTCTGTTTGATATTTTCAGACAAAGCTTGACCATAGGTAACTAAACCTGGGAAAACAAATGGCAGATAAGGGCGGACCAGCGTATGGTACACACTTCTCCTGTGCAGGTGATATAAGGAGATATACATACCTGCTACCTGTGTGTCTCTTCTCACAGTTCCTCTTTCCCTTCTTCCCACTATGGCTCTTTCCTATCCAGAGGACATCCAGATCAAGATTATTGTGACTGAGGATGCTATGTGGCCTTGGGTACAAACAAACAGTTAGCGTTTGCTTAAGCTTTGCAGACTTTGACACAGAAAAGTGTGTGACTTGATTATAAACTAGATTCAAAATGCAGACTTTTTAGAAAGGACTGTTTGCAGTTGAATGCAGTTCTGTCCCAGGCCAAAGCAGTTGTAGTGGGAAAAGTTGACTGAATAGAAACTTACATAATTTTGTTCTAACAAAGACCACGTCTACAGGAGAGCATGGGTTCATGTGTTCATGACACGCTCCCATCTCACAAATACCTGTCATGTGCAGAATGGCTTGTGTGTGAGAGGCGCTGTGAGTGTGCAGTTGTTAACTCCCATGGGTTTCTATCTCCTGAGAAGCTCATATATTGCTAGAAGAGAAGGGACATGGACATAAAATGTCCTGAGACACACCTGTCCAGGATTCCACCAGAAAAGTATAGCCAAAGAGATAGGAAGAGTTGTGGGAAAGATTACCTGCAAGAGAGGCATTGGGGATGGTGGAAGAGACAGACTCAGGTGGAAATTTCAGATTTTCTCTGAATATGGGTGTAATGCAAGTGTTCTGATTTGGACAGGCCAAAGAGGAACTCAGACACCAAGGATAGGGGAACCATGTTTTATTCAGCTCATGGCAGCCAGTGAGCTAACATAAGAGGTCTGCACAAGCAGAAGGCCCTACACACTTTCATACCCAATGGGACAATAGTGGCAGCAATTACACAATCATGACATTACTTTGTATTATTATGATTATCTAGGAAAAGCATAACAACTTCCAGTGGCACTATAGGTTGGAAAGCCCAAACAATTTTGTCTGGCCCACAATGGGACCCTTAACCAAGCTTCTTATACTTTCTGAGCACCAGTAATCAGTGTTTATTTTGTTTTCTTTTGTTTTGAGGCAGAGTCTTTTCTTTTTTTCTTTTGAGACAGAGTCTCACTCTGTCACCCTGGATAGAGTGCCATGGCATCATCATAGCTCACAGCAACCTCAAACTCTTGGGTTTAAGCCATCCTCCTCCCTGGGCCTCCCAGAGTGCTAGCATTACAGGCATGAGCTACCATGCCTCGCCCATTTTGTACTGAGGCAGACTCTTGGCTGTTGCCCCAGGTAGAGGGCAGTGGCATCATTGTAGCTACTGCAGCCTCAAACTCCTGAGTTTGAGCCAGAACTAACAGTGCCTTCCATCATCCTCAGCTAGTTTGTCTATTTTTGGTAGAGATGGGGTCTCACTCTTGCTCAGGCTGGTCTCAAATGCCTGAGCTCAAGTGATCCTCCCACCTTGACCTCTGAGAGTGCTGGGATCACAGGCATGAGCTACCGCGCCTGACCTAGACCATTTACATTTAATGACTGATATGATTTAATTAAAATCTACCATCTTGTTAGTTGTTCTCTGTTCTTCATTCATGGAGAAGAGGCTTTGAGTAAATACAGACTTCTCTTGTATCTGAAGTTCTCAGGGTTCATACACTCATGCTAATGCACATTGGATCTCTATCCATTTGTTAAGCATTTTATCGGAATTTTTCTTAACATCTGGTATGGCAGCCACACTAAGTATGCTCAGCTCTAGGTGAGCCCATGATCATGATCTTTTCTTGGAAGCACCTGTCTTTCCTTAGATTTCAGGTTCATTGCCCCATGACTTTAGCTCTCTGAAGATTTTGATAAAAGTTATGATTTTATGATTTTGTGTGTAATCTGGCTTCTTATTGATGCAAGAGTGATTCTTCTCCAGATTCCCACCCTGGGTATCTTGTCTTAGTGCCAACTATCATGACAAAGTTCAATAAACTGGGTAGCTTATAACCAACAGAAATTTATTTCTCACAGTGCTGGAGGCTGGACACATCAGATTAGGTGTCCAGCATGGCTAGGTTCTGCTGAGGGGCCTCTTCCAGGTTGCACACAGCTGATTGCTTGCTGTTTTCTCACATGGAGGAAAGAGAGCTAAGAGAGCTCCCTGGGGTCTCTTTTATAAGAGCACCCGTCCCACCTCTGACCCAAGTAGCTCCCAAAGGTCCCACCTCCAAACACATCAGATTGGAAGTTAGCAGTTCAACATGGGAATTCTGGGAGGCCACAAGCATTAAGCCTATTGCATGCCTCTTGTATGAATTTTAAAGATGTTAAATTATAGGCAGGTTAAAGCAGTTTAAATTTAAATATAAAAGTGGACTGGATACAGCAAAACTCCATTCCTGAATAGAGATTTCTGGATGAGAAAAAAACTAAAAAACAAATTAACTTTTAATTTGGAATAAATTAAGATAAAAATTGTATGTATATATAGTTGTATTATATAATTTGGATACATCAGGATAAAAATTGTATGTTTTTTATATTTTCTTTATACTTAATGACCAAATAGCATGTGAAAAGTAAAGTAAAATTAATATAGAACAATGTTGTTAGTTGATTTAAAAAAAAATTTAACGCCAGGCACAGTGGCTCACTCCTAGAATTCTAGCACTCTGGAAGGCTGAGGTGGGAGGACCCCTTGAGCTCAGAAGTTCAAGACCAGCCTGAGCAAAAGTGAGACCCCGTCTGTACTAAAACTAGAAAAACTGGCAGGCATTGTGATGGGCACTGTGATCCTAGACTCTTGGGAGACTGAGGCAGGAGGATCGCTTGAGCCCAGGAGTTTGAGGTTGCCGTGAGCTATGATGTCATCGCACTCTACCCAGGGCAACAGAGTGAGACTCTGTCAAAAAAAAAAAAGGGCTCAGTACTTGTAGCTCAGTGGTTAAGGCACCAGCCACATACACCAAGGCTGTTGAGTTCAAACCCGGTCCGGGCCTGCTAAACAACAACAACTACAACAAAAAATAGCCAGGCACTGTGGCAGGTACCTATAGTCCCAGCTACTTGGGAGGCTGAGGCAAGAGAATCACTTAAGCCCAAGAGTTTGAGGTTGCTGTGAGCTATGACCCCATGGCACTCTACCAGGGGTGACATAGTGAGACTCTGTCCCCCCAAAAAGAAGTTAACAAATTATTTTTTAAGCAAAGAAAATAAGATTAAAAAAACAAAGAAATAAAATAAGATTCAGACAGTTATGCAAGATGTTTTGAAAGAGAATAACGGAAGCAATGATAGACAAAACATGGCTGGTTAAGAAACAAAATCAATTGACATGGTCTAAAAACAGACTTAACGCAAATGACCAATCAGGAGTTATTTCAAGTTAGCTTTAAGATTTTTCTGACCAGTAAAACATTTAAAAGTTTACTGAAATTAAAATGTTGGTTGGGCACAAAACTCAAGAAATGGCAGGATGTTGGTTTTTAAATGGTGGCCTGATTTTTTCCAGATCACTCCAGGAAGCAAGGCGGCAGCTGCCAACCTGTGTCCTGGAGATGTCATCCTGGCCATCGATGGCTTTGGTACAGAGTCCATGACTCACGCCGACGCGCAGGACAGGATTAAAGCAGCGGCACACCAGCTGTGTCTCAAAATTGACAGGTGCTCCTTAATTAATGGTGCTGAAATCTGATCTGTTTTGCAGGGGAACCTGAACCAGTAACTATAAATGGCTTCATCTTCTCAGTAGGAAGGAGTATCACAGGGCCTAGAATTTCCACTGGCGTTTTTAGACATCAGCCACTGTAGTCTGTTCTTCACCAAAGTCAGTGAATCTAATAGCTCCTGACAAACCATCTCTAAAAAGAATTCTCTGGAATGTCAGAATAACGAGTGAAGCTATCAGAATTTTTTTTCCTTGCACCAACTGAGGTAATTGGCTATGAAAATAGAACCATTGGCTGCATGAACGCTGAACAAGAGGTACTTGTGTTCTTGGGGTGGTGGAAATTGAAATGGAATTTACAGATTCTCTCTAAAGAATCTCTTGGCTTGCCAAGATGTGATCATGTTAAAAATTGGTCTCTAATATTCTGTAAGCTTTTGACTATTTTTTTATGGAATTCAGCCCAGAAGACATAAGAGTACAACATGAGCGTATTAGGTACTGGGACATTTCTGACCCTCCCCCACACAAAAAAAATTAAGAAATTGAATCCAGCCTCTTGCCATCAGATCCCTGATCTCAAACTGAACCATGAAGATAACGGTTTGTTATTAGGGGTTCTCAGGCTGTTTATCCCGTTTGTATCATATTTACCGTTTTCCCTGTTGTGATAGTACTGTTGCTGGACCAAGAAGTCCCTCTCCTGTCACCCAAGCCAATCAACGGAGGAGAGGATAAGAGATCAATGGTTTCACTTTTATTTACAGAAAAGCCAGTGATTCTGGAGAGCAGTGAGAATATATCCCCAAAGAACCGCTCTGCCCTCTCTTCCTCTTGGTTACCTTTTATTCTCAGAAGATCCCCTCTCAGAGATTACAAAGTTACACAATATCTTCCCATTTTGAAGTGGTTACATCTTCAAAGCATTTTTATTCTAGAGTTCATTTGTAGTCAGTAATTCACTGGGTACACAGAGCGCCCCGGGTCCTTAACTGGCACCCTGGAGTCCAGTTCCCCAACTTATCTATGACAGTAACCCTGGAAGTGAATAAACAATCTCCAGGTCCAGCCTTATTAGGGCCTGACCCACAGTGCCCTGAAGAAAATGGCTGTTCAGGTACACAGTGGCAGGTAGGAGTGTGGAACGATCAATTTATCTGGCAGTCTGCCATTTCATGGGGTGAAACAGATACATTCCTTCCCAATCCACTGTAACCTGGGTTCCTGCCAAGCACACAGCCCCTTAGGAGCCACAGAGTCCCGTGTCAATGCATGAGAAGGGTTGGACAAGCCACATTTTTTTGTTTCCAGCACCAAATCCGCCTTGCTGGTCACTCACTGTCTTCTGGGGGTGGCGTGCATAAGGCAGGAGGGAAGAAAGGAGACAGGGAAGTTGTCTCCTGGTCATCTGCAGGCCAGAATCTCCCTCTCCCAGGCTCTTCCCACCGGCATCAGAGGCCCACTTTCTCCAGAAACTGCAGTTGTGATCTCCTCTAGATTTCTCCCAAAAGAACACTAAAAATGTTAAGACTAATTGGATGGGAATATGCCGAATAATAAGCAAAAAATCATTGCTTTTGCTTAAATTAATAAGAATTGCTGGTATTTTTCACCAACACAATGGGAAATGCAAGTATATGAAAACCGGAAGCGCCATCAGGCTTTGGAGTTTATGAACTTGATTTTATTTACAGGGCAGAAACCCACTTATGGTCTCCGCAGGTGTCTGAAGAAGGGAAAGCTCACCCTTTCAAAATCAACTTGGAAGCAGAGCCCCAGGTATGAATTTTAGAGTCATTTATGTCGTTGTAGCACCTCCCAAATATAAAAATTGGAACAAGTCTCCTCAAGAGCCAGTTGCCTGCCATCGCTCTGTGAGATTAATTTATATTATCCATGTTTTCTCACATCAAGGAAAAGCAGAAGTGTACGCAGAAAGACATCTTGTTGAAGACAAGTACGTTCACATTAGGAAGAATTTGGCTAAATCTACATAGAGGCCACTTATTTTTTTTTGCAGTTTTTGCCCAGGGCTGGGTTTGAACCCACCACCTCCGGCATATGGTGCTGGCGCCCTACTCCTTTGAGCCACAGGCGCCACCCCCTTTTTTTCATTTCTTATGATAGACTTCTGTCAAATGGCCATGAGGTAATCGAAGGAATTTAAGTTGTTAAAACAGAGCAAACCAAAAATAAGTGCTACCAGTTGAAACAGTGTGTCTAATCTAGCTGTGATGGTGAACTTCAATCCTTTGTGGTCTCACCAGATCTTATTTTGAATCCTTTCTTTAATTGTTAATTCTGGGGTTTTATAATTAAGTTTACTCTGTGGAAAGAGTTGGCAATGATCTGCAAAAAGATAAAAGATTTTCCCTTGAGGCAATTGTAATGAGCTCAATTAATCTAATCACCTGGTGTTTATGTGACTACTCTCAAAAGAACCAAAAATAAAAAAACTTGAAATTAAATCAAACCTTGATTGTGATTACTAAAAAAGTCTAATTAAGGGCGTTACCTGTGGCTCAGTGAGTAGAGCACCAGCCCCATATACCAAGGATAGTGGGTTTGAACCCAGCCCCTGCCAAACTGCAAAAAAATAAATAAAAAAGTCTAAAGTAAAGCATTTTAGAACCCCTACTTACAAGCTTCTAAGGTTTAGAGATAGGTTTTATATCCCTTTTGATACAAGTGTTTCCAGTAGACTAATTAGACATTCCCCATCTGTAGTTTTTCTCTAAATCTAATGAAAATGAACTGAAAACATACGTATACCTTATGCTTTAGCAATGTCTCCCCTTTCAAGATCATGAACTCCTGAATTTATCCTTCAAGTTCATAAGCCTCTGTTTTCTTCTACATGAAATAGGTGTAGAATAACATAAGTGCATGCATCTTTGGGGGCTTCTCAAATTGGCACACTGGGCAGCTACCAGAGATAATACATGGCAGCTCTTCTTACTAGTGGGACTCCCAGGCTTCAGTCAGAAAGTCTCCTGGTGATGTAGCTGCCTACATGGCAAGGCTTCCTAAAGGCTGGGAAGGCCTTCCCCATTACTGCCACAAGGTCATTAAAAACTGCATGGGGTCAGGCTGGGTGCTGTGGCTCACACCTGTAATCCCAACACTCTGGGTGGTTGAGGCAGGTGGATTGCTTGAACTCAGGAGTTCAAGACCAGCCTGAGCAAGAATAAGACGCTGTCTCTACTAAAATAGAAAAACTATCTGAGCATGGTTGTGGGCACCTCTAGTCTCAGCTACTTGGATGGCTGAGACAGGAGGATCATTTGAGCCCAAGAGTTTAAGGAGCTATGATGATACCATGACACTCTAGCCTGGGTGACAGAGTGAGACTCTGTCTCAAAAAAAAAAAAAAAAAAAAAATTATGTGTGATGAAAGTTTTATTTTCAGTTAAAATACAACCCCTCCAGGAGAAGAGCATTCCGAGTAGTATCATCTTTAGAGGGATGAGTTTATTGGGTGCCCGTCCTACACTTTTGACAAATGAGAAGGTAGCATTTTAGCCTAGAAACTGCTAAGAGGAAGAAGAGGAGAAAACAGGTTCCAGATGGAATTAGCAGCACACAGATAGTTATGAAGGTGGAAATCAGGAGGCTGTCTTCATGTGGCATCCCCTCAGCACAGCCCACAGCTCAGGAAATAGCTGACATGAATGAAATTCACTGGAGGACCCAAATGTGAACTGCAAATTTTCCTACATTGCCCGAGACCAGACCTGAGAACCAGTTCCCAGAATGGCGTCTGCCACCCACACCCTCAGCTGTCACTTCGCAAAAGTGATCTTTAACATTAAGTGGGATGTTTAGACTTTTCTTTTTGAGACAAAATCTCACTCTGTCATCCTGGGTAGGGTACCCTGGCATCATAGCTCACAGCAACCTCAAACTCATGGCCTTAAGAGATCCTCCTGCCTCAGCCTCCCAAGTAGTTGGGACTACAGGAGCCCACCACCATGCCCAGCTAGTTTTTCATTTTTAGTAGAGAGGGGAATCTCGCTCATGCTGGGTCTTGAACTCCTGAGCTCAAGCAATCCACCTGCCTCAGCCTCCCAGAGTGCTGGGATTAAAGGTGTGACCCACCATGCCAGGCCTACTCAGACAAGAATTTCTGCTTTTCAGAGTAAGTGAGCAAAATACAATACAGTGAGAAGGGATCTGAGTGCTGATGCTGGCTCATCCTGGCATACTAGTAGGCTGGCAAATCATAATATCTCCAATCAACATTTTCCTTGAGGCAAGAAAAGATTAGAAGAAGAAAAACTAGCTCAAGGCAGAGTTATTACTTTTTTATGACCCTTTGCAGTAATGCTCAAGTCCATCTGCTTTCTTTCAGCCTTGTCAATTTCAATTTATGCCTTAGGGGCAACTCATGAAACTATATGATGCTTTTAAAAAGAAAGAAGGAAAATTTAAGGCCTAATACAGACATTGGCTGCCCACCCAACCTCTTGCCATAGCCTGGACAAACTGGATGGAATTCTGCATTTGCTTATCCATACACAGCACACATCCAAAAATAAAACAAATTATTGTTCCACTCAGAATTTCCCCTTAATTTTTTAAACCCAATTACATCCATGTGTGATATATGATATGAGGCAACTCAGGCAGATTTGACCCAAGTCCCAAATCCCCAGGGATCTGCAGGCCTGGTCACATCTCCCACACTGGAGGTCAGACAGGCATGAGGAGCTCACTGGCAGCCTTAAGGCCACATGTGGCCTTCTGGATCCTTCAGTGTAGCCTTTTGACTGAATCCAAATTTTACAGTGCAGATTCCTAGAACAATTCCTTTTAATAAAGGGGTTTGGATTTGGTCAAGGAGTGACATTTGGGGAGGTATTTTGCTCGCATCTCTACAGAGTTAGAATTTAAGAGTATATTAGGGCTTGGTGCCTGTGGCTCAAGTGGCTAAGTCACCAGCCACGTACACCTGAGGTGGCAGGTTCGAATCCAGCCTGGGCCTGCCAAACAAAAATGATGGCTGCAACCAAAAAATAGCCAGGCATTGTGGTGGACACCTGTAGTCCCAGCTACTTGGAAGGCTGAGGCAGGAGACTTGCTTGAGCCCAGAAGTTGGAGGTTGCTGTGAGCTGTGATGCAACAGCACTCTACCCCAGGGGGACAGCTTGAGGCTCTGTCTCAAAAAAAAAAAAAA